AGTTGGGCCCAGCCTCTCCCAGCTCGTTAAAGGTGGGGCCTGTTCCTTGTGCACAAGGATATCCGTACATGCCAGGCAGAGCTGTGATGCCACTGGTAGGCTTCTCACTAGCAGACGACAAGGTCCAGTGACCCAAGGCACTACCCCGACCAGGCTGTGAGATGGAGAAAGCCTTTCTTTCCACACCTCTCTAGGCCCAGTCTGCTATGTTCCTGCTCCTGGCCGTAGCACCACCACCCCCAAATCTGGGCCTGATATCCTATCACCAACTCTTCTTAGGGAATCAGGGTGCCTGAGCCCTTGCCTTAGGTCTCTGTTCATTGAACAACCCTCTGCTGGGACACCATGGAGCAGGGCAGAGGTGTTGGTCAAGGTGTTGCCTCCCCTCTAATGTGGCCTTGGAACTTCACCCCTACTCCATCCCCTCCATCCTCTGCATTTTCCGCTCATGTGCATTGGGCAGGTATGGGTTTGGGGAGGGGGTGACCAGGAGTAGGGAGAATCTGAGGGGAGGCAAAGGCAGTCTAAGAGCAGGCAAGGGGAAGGGATGGAAGGAGGGTACAAATCCTGTACTGAGGGATCCCACAGCTTGGGGAATATGAAGGTCTCGTACAAGCATCTCCATGGGCTCTGTTCCTGCTCTGCCCCTGCAGAGGCTGAGGAGCTGCACCAGAAGAGAGTCCTGACAATTACTGGCATCTGTGTGGCTCTGCTGGTCGTGGGCATCGTCTGTGTGGTCGCCTACTGCAAGACCAAGTGAGTGTTCCATGCTCAAGCGGAGAGCAGGCCAAGCCAGGGGGTGGCCTCCAATCTGCCTAGCCTGAGAGTCTACAGCTTCCTGTCCCCAGTAGTCTCACAACCTTCTGCAGCTGTAGCACCAAGGGACAGGCACAGGGAAAGTCTTGGTTCAAACCCAACTCTGCTATTTCCCATAGGACCTTGAGAAAATTGAGGACCTTCTCCAAGTCCTCGTGATGAGCTTAGTGTGCACCTCAAAGGACATTACAGTGGCCTCACTGGAGCTCCCAGTTGCCCTTTGCAGGCTCCTGCAGCAAGAGTCAAGCCTGAGAAGAAAAATGGGTCGCTAGAGGCCAGGGGAGGGTCTGAGCCATCGGAGTGATATGATTACAGTTATAGCTTAGATGGGGGGATTGGAGGACTGGTGGAGGAGAGGCCCTGGGGATGCTGGGAAGAAAGAGGATGTGCAGGGAAGGCTGCATTCCTGGGACGAACAGGTGTCTCAACAGCACGGTGCACCCCCACACTGGAAGTACCGCAAGAGAGCACAGAGGAGGAGAGATTGGGCTATCTCAGGGAAGGCTGGGGCAGCAGCTGGGGAAGCTGGGAGGTCATGTGGAAGAGGACAAAATGAAAGATAAGTCAGAGAAGGCAGTCCAGACCACTCAGAGCAAGAAGCCAGGGTCAGAAAAAAAGTGGGCAGAAACTAAAGCTCTCTGGGATTCAGGTGCCTTCATAAAACCTTGATGTCAGGCTTCAAATGGCATGGAGCCAACGAAGGCTGTAGAGTGAGGTGGTGCAACCTTTGCTTAGATCCAGAAAGTAAGCCTAGGCAGTTACCATCAGAGGATGGGTCTCTTAGTTGGACTCCTGCTGCCCTAAAGATGGGATCGAAGATCCTGTTGACCTCATCTTGTATGAGACCAGGCCAAAAGGCTGGGAAGGAAGGACGGGGTTGAGACTGGGCCCAAAAAGTAGAGTCTATGAACCAAGGAAAGAAGCACTAGTTCTGACCTGCTGCATTTCTTCATCACTGCAATAAGCCTTCATCAGTGGCGCTGACACTAGACCCAGCCCCAGGCACGTGACCAGGCTCCAAGCAAGTGGTCCCAGAGCATGTCTGGTTTGGGACTTTTTGTTGCTGTTTGAGGTAGGATCTCACTATATAGCCCTGACTGCCTGGGATCCACAGAGATCTCCCTGCCTCCACTACAGCTGGCCACCAAGACACATTTTTGAAGCCCCTATCCTCAGCTGGAGAGCAGAAGGGCTTTCCCTAGGAAGTGGCTTCCAGGCTAGGGCCCAAGGAGAGAAGACATGAGCAGGTGAAGAGGCTAAAGTGCAGGGCAAAACTCTGCAGGATCAGAAGCTAGCTGTCCCAGGAATCAGTTGGGTGGAGAGAGGCAGCAAGAGTCAAGCCTGGGGAGAAAAGGGGATCTTGAAGGCCAGGGAAGGGTTTGAACCATAGGAGTGACATAATTACAATTGTGTATGTTAAAATAATTTACTGAGCATTTATTATGTGTCAGTATACAGGAGTCCCATGGGCCTGGCTCCTGGATCATAGCATTCTGTTTTATTTTCTTTGTAAAGCTTCACTGGAAATGACTATTCATTTACTTGTTTATTTATTGTCTGCCTCCCATACTGGCTCCAGGCTGCATGAAGCACAGACCATGTTTACCTCATCTGTTCCAAAGCAGAGTCTGGAACACAGGAAATCCCAATAAACAATTACTAAACAAATGAGGGAGGAGCGGGTATCTTGGTGTGAGAGTCATTTATGGACTTTTTATGAGCAGTGGTCTTTGGGATGGTAAGGGATTCTACACTACAGATGGAGACAATGAAGTATCTTTGTGAAATTGCCCGAGGTCGCACAGTACAAAGCAGTAGAGTTGTGTGCATTGCCCAGCCTCCCTGGAAGGGAAGCCATGCTATGCTCACCTATCCTTCCCCTGTGCAGAAAACAGCGAAGGCAGATGCATAACCATCTCCGGCAGAACATGTGTCCGGCCCACCAGAACCGGAGCCTGGCCAATGGGCCCAGCCACCCTCGGCTGGACCCTGAGGAGATCCAGATGGCAGATGTGAGTCCTGTTCCCAGACCTGCCCCCCCCCCAGCTCTTGCTGGATAGCCACCTTCTCTGGCTGCAAGGATGGGCCAGGGTGGATGCTGCTTGAGCCTAGAGTATTTCGTCCTATTGCCAGGCACCACCTCCCTGGGACCTGGCTTCACTCTGCTCACTTCCATAAGGAAGAACTGAGGAGGAAATTGATTGTCGGGGCTATCACTGACCCAACAAAAGTCACATCTCACCCAGTGGGTCACTCTTTAACCTAGAGCTCGGTGCTCATCACCTGCCCTCCCTACCAGGAAAGAGAACTTATCGAGTTTCTCTCACTAACTCCTCCCAATTTCTGTCTGTCTCAGTATATCTCCAAAAATGTGCCAGCCACAGACCACGTGATCCGGAGGGAAACTGAGACTACATTCTCTGGGAGCCACTCCTGTTCACCTTCTCACCACTGCTCCACAGCCACCCCCACCTCCAGTCACAGGTGAGCAGTGTCAGGGCCCTCGGAACCCTGCTAATTCCTGTTCTTCAATCATCCACAGCTAGCTGATATCTTCTCTTGTGTTTGCATATGGATCACAGTCCACCTGACTCTCCAGTACTGGGGCAACCTGTCTGCACAAGCACAATAGCTCCTACAGCTAGAAAAATAATAAGGCTGGTCCCTTCTTCCATGGAGAGCTCCATGCAATAGTCAGAGCCCTTGCATACTGGCCACTGAGGCTGGGATGCTGAGGGGTGGATGTGTCCCAGCTGGGGGACGTTGGTGGCAGGAGGAAAAAGCCTCTACACATGGCAACTCACCAACCACAGGATCCCAGACTTCCTTCTCCATTATCAGGGCTGAACATCTGTGAAACTCCACATCTACCCACAGTGGACAGGACAGTGATCTAAGGGAGCCACAGACAAGATGAACTAAGAGCAAGGTGGCCATGGGATCACACACCTGCTTTGGAACGCCTGTCCTTCCTGACCTATCAATTCACTCCTATCTGGTTTTCCCAGACATGAGAGCCACACGTGGAGCCTGGAACGTTCAGAGAGCCTGACCTCGGATTCCCAGTCAGGCATCATGCTGTCCTCAGTGGGCACCAGCAAGTGCAACAGCCCAGCATGTGTGGAGGCTCGGGCACGGAGGGCAGCAGCCTACAGCCAGGAGGAGCGGCGCAGGGCTGCCATGCCACCCTACCATGACTCCATAGACTCCCTGCGTGACTCTCCACACAGTGAGAGGTCAGTTTCTACTCCCCCTTGACTGAACCCTACATTGGCTAGAAAGCTGTCGCTGCCAACCCAAAGCTGACCCTTAGGGTACCTCAGAGGCATTACCAAGAGCCTCATCCCAATTTTTCTGTTGGGCAAACAAGGTCCCAGAAAGGTTAAGTGGTCTCCTGGGATTAGAATTACATCTAGCTCAATAGATCCTGGCTGGAGTGACCACATAGTTTGTCCCATTAGGGAACATTAATAATCATACTGAAGCATTGGGGACAAACAGGGCTGTTCCATACACACAGGATCCAAGGTTGTCTGATTCCTAGTGTTACCTAAAGACTCCCACATCTCAACAGAAGCAGAAAGACACTAAGACCAAGAAGACTACAGGCTAGGAAAAGAGATCATTTTCAAGGGCACTGACTGGAGAGCAAGGACATAAGCCAAGAATGGCCTCAGTGCCTTTCAGCATCTCCATCAAGGTCCCCAGTGCCCAAGGCATTGCTGGGATCCTGAGAAATCCATAAAGAAAGAAACAGGAAATTGCTTTTTCCCTGGAGCTGGCAAGATTGCTGAGTGGCAAATAAGCTTGCCTACCAACCCTGCTGGTCTAAGTTTAATTCCTAGAATCCACAAATTGGAAGGAGAGTGCCAATTCAAACAAGTTGTCCTCTGACCTCCATATACACGTCAGCTCTCTGTCTTCTTTTACTAGCCACTTCCTGGGTATCTCAAATAGACAAATAACTTTTACATCTGTACCAGAGAAGCTCAGGGCTCCCCTCCACACCACACACACACACACACACACACACACACACACACACACACACACACACACACACGAAATCCCCTTCTTCCTGACTACTCCACACCAGGAGTCCTCGGAGCTAGGCCCCACCCTGACCAGTTTCCCAGTGGCTGTTAATCCAGCTAGGTATGTGAGAGGAAAGCAGAGGGGGGGCACACCAAGGCAGAAGAGGCTCCAGAATGGGGAGGAGCAAATTCTACCTCTTTCTGACTCAGCTAGGCCTGAGCTGATCAAGCATACCAGAGATGGCCTACCTGCTCTTATTCCAAGCAAGGGACAAACCCCTGACACCCTCAGCAGTTTTTCCAAGTGCTAAGCACAGATACCACACCAAAGCAGAGACACCAGCTCCAACTACAGGCTCCAAGAAGCATCCAGATTTTCCTCTCCAAGCCCAGCTCCACTGCTATCTTCGTGATCTGGGGCAGGTGCCTCAAACTTTGCTCCTTCGTTGTAGATAAGGGGGAAACAGTATCTACTACACATGGAGCTGGTAAAGGACCCAAGATAATTACAGAGTTCACCCCTGTCTCTGTTATCAACAATGGTCACCCCAACACTAGGTGGTGGGAAGCCCATCCATGGGGAAAGAAAGCTTCGCAGACTTGGTGTATCGCTGCAGCTGCATTCGGAGAAACACTTAGGAACATGCTTAAGAGAAACCGGGTGGACTGTGAGGAGCCATGGAGCTCAACAGGCAGGCTGGGGACACAGAGATAGACCAAGGGCCCTTGGCTTCTGCTTGCTTGGGAGGTGGAGCTTGGGAGGTGGTGTCTTTAGAAGAGCTGAGGTTTGGTTGGTTGGTTTGGTTTTGGTTGAAAGGGGGATTGTTTTGTTTTGTTTACTCTGGGAACGTCCTAGAGTTGAAAGACACCCCAAGGTGGTGGCATGACCAGAAAGAACATCTGGCCCAGCCTGGAGAGTGTGCCTCAGGAGAGAAGGAATAGGTAGGACTTAGCAGTTAGTTAGATCTGCATGTGGGAAAGGGAAGAGGCCAAATCAACTGATCCAGTAAGAAAGTAACAAGTATGCTAAGCCAGTTCCAGAGAGCACGAGGTATCTAGAGTGCAGTCTGGAAGAAAGGCATGGCAGTGAGTGACCCCTGTCCTGGGGTGGACAATGGTGGAAGCTGAAGGCCCACAAGGCGATTGTGAAGAGCAAAAAGGGACATCTGGGGATATATTAGCAAAAGCAAACTCTTCAAGAAAGTCAGGGGGGTAGAGACCCATGTTATCTTGGTATTGTCTGTCCTGGTTTGAGGACCCTAACCAGTGTCACCTCCATGTGGCAGCTTTGGGTTTCAGTCATTTCCCTCATTCGAATCAAGCCGTGGGATAAACCGTTCGTGCAAGGTCAGTGAGCTCAAATGCAGGAGTCTCTGAATGGCAGTTTACTAGTTTCCGCCTAACCTGGGTTCAAATCCCAGGCATAGGTACCCAGGATTCACACTGGGAGGTATTAGCAAAAACAGGCCTGCATGGACCTGGGAGTCATTGGTTCCATGAAGAGACACCTAGTGGTGTCTCGGTGAAACAGGGAGGAGAGTGAGTTAGTTGACTCAGAAAAAAAAAAAAAAAGGATCAGGCCACTTTTGGTCATTTGTCCTTGGCTCTTAAATATCTGGGTCTCTCTTTCCTTTGTGTAGCGTGGCCCTCACCCACAGATTCTACGGAATAGATGAAACCACACGTAAAAATACCCCAAGCTGAGCGTGCCCTGGAGACTAAGCATCCCCACAGCATGGGGATGTTTACCCAAGGACAGGCACTGGGCTAGGGTACTTCCCTAGTACATTTCTGAAATCGTCCAGCATCACACTGGAGTAAACACT